GTTTTGAAAAACCGAGGTCCAAAAACGAAGTGTTCCCAAAAGTAAAAACCAAGTATGAAAAACATTGTATATGGTATAAAATAGTGAAAACAAGACTTGTTTGGTAAAAACCAAGTCCTCAAGGTCGTAAATCACGTGCGTACGGTTTTGACCGTTTTTCACGTGTTAGACCGATTGACCAAGATACAAAAGTGGTTTTTATAAAAAAATTATTCGGGAACCTTTAAAATATGCTCAGAGATAAAAACAGGGTTTAAAATATTGAAAACCACGGAGTTGATTCGGGCGCCAGAAACCGAACGCCGAAAACCGAACGTCGAAAGCCGAACACCGACTTATGTGGTTTTGGTTCTGAGCAAGGACCAGGGATTTTAAACACTAAAGGAAGTCATCAAAAATGTTTGTTTTGATGCACAAAAAAATGTTTTATGGTTTGTAAAAATTGTTTTGACTTTTTGAGAACCGAGACTTGAATAAATTGTCGGTTTTGATCACAAAAGACCGACTCGACTAAGTCTTCAATTCTTGATCTTGTCCTTGAGTCTTTTAGGTCTTGTTCCAAGCCATTCTTCACGCCTTGAGTTATTCAACGAAACTCTTCATATCCACGGCGGTTTGGCAATTATCAAAACCTGTCAGAAATGAACACGACTTTAGTTTAACTTACAAAGTGTGTTCCAACAATATGCTCCCTTGCGGAGCAACTGAGCTGCCAATCATGGATGATCTGCAACCGGCACATCCTGGTCATTGAGCACTCTTGCCACCTGATCTATCCAGTCGAGGGCCACTTGGGGTTCAGCCACCCGGTCCCTAAGGAACTCCTCTACTCCGTTGTCCTTCAACGTTTTGAAGGTGATGTGTCACTGAGGTGGCTGAGGCTGCTGAAACATCGGTGCATTCGCCATCTGCTGCAAGAATTGAGCCATGAAAGCCGGCATGACGTTCTCGGGCGGGTTCCCAAAGTTCTGATTATTTCCTGCGTTCAGTGGTACATTGGGCTGCCCAGCATTCTGCTGAGGCATGAAGCTAGACGCCTCCGTCTCGGCATCGTTGTGGTCGTCACCCAGGTGTTGGGTGTTGTCATGAGCGTGCGTCGATGCGTTACTCATTCTAAATTGCACATATAAATTCCTAATCAGTCATTAGCACAAAACAAACAAAGATACAAACTTATTACCTTCCCGGGGCTGATGAGTCGCAAGAGATGTGGTGCAGCATTTGGAAACCATCTATTTATGATCCGAAGATCGGTTTTAAAACCATATGCTCCGATACCAAAATGTAACACCCCACCCTGCATAACCCGAATACTCGGATCAACGAACCGGGTTGCTACTGATTTGGTATCCAAACACCATTTAACTTTCAAACAGTTCAAAACATTTAAATTGAAACAATGTTTAAATATCCATCGGAGTAATAATCAAAACAGTTGCGGAAGCTTAATTCATAATTCAAAACACAACTTGGGAATCATGCCCAAAATAGTAATAAGATATTTAAATAAGAAATACTAATTCAAAACCGTCGAACACCGTCACGCACATCTCAGCCTCCTCATCGCCCTCCGGGATTTGCTCCAAGCTCCTCATTTCCTGGATTACCTACGTGTAGCAAATAGGAGAAAGGCTACATGCTCAGCATTGAAGCTAAGTGAGAAATATCTAATAGACAGCTATACCTATAGATGATCCCACTAGCCCATATCCTCATACGATATCATGCACACAACATGCTCAACACAATCATACTTCATACAGGATATAACATACGCAAACGGTAACGTCATCATTCAAGAGGTACAATTTACAGGATATAATAACAAACTCATTCCTCTTTGCTTACTTTACTTTCTTTCTGTACTCGGCTGTTAACCTATGCTAGGTTAAAGCTTAACTGTATACGACTTGTCTATGGGAGTCATGACCTTCTCCTTCAGAACGAAGGTCAAGCTCAAACCAACTCGGGAGTTCCTCGTTGGGTGGGTGAGATCCGTGTCCCCTTCGGAACGATAGTTCTTAGATCCCCGTGTACACGTTTTTACCCGAACAATCATTGGACCCAGCAGGTACCACATGCCTCTAACTTACTAACTTATGGCATAACTTATCATTATTTCCATTCAGGTCAGCTCCTAGAGTTCAGTCTAGGTATTTCATCCATTAATTACCAATAGTTCATAGCACACATGTTCATGTACTATACAACATAATTCATCTCATCCAACATACTCAATCAGCGACCTAACCCTGGGTATTGACACCCATGTTTACCGTCATGCAACACACAAAGTCTTGGAATCGATCCTCGACGCAAACGACAAATACAGACCAGTTTAGGTACCTCACGGTACCCTTGGCGGTAGGGGCTACCGACCCCATGGTACTAGGGTACCATCCCCACAGTACGTGGGTACCGACTGTGTCATCTGACATACCTTACCGGTAGGCTGTCACGGTAGCCTCTACCGACCCGGCAGTAGGGCCTACCGCCCACCCGGAACCTAGGTTCTTGTTGAGGACTTGTCGTACGGTCCAAAACAAATTAAAAATTTATAAAGTATCCTTAGCTAACCCCCAATATATAATCAAATAAAAACTATAGCTAGGGCAAGTAAGGGTCGATCCCACGGAGAAAGTTTGTACTTTTGAAATCAAAATAGCATGCAAACACGTTGTCACGAAATTAAATAACAAAACTACTACACATATGATAAAACTTATAAGCTTATAATAAAATAAATATAAAAACTTATAAATATAACTTATATAGACAAAGAACTTATAATATAACTTAAACCTAACACAACGGGGGGTGAATGAAAAGTAAATATTTTTTTGCTTTTATATTTTCTTATTTTTTTGGTTTTTTTTGATAAAATAGGGGAAAACAAGCTCAAAAGATAATCAACTTCTCCAACAAAGGTAACCCAAGAAACACCACCAAGAACCCGAAACAAAATTAAAAAGAGAACGAACACAAATAGAACATTACACGTATAATAGGCACGTAGACAATATATTACGTAACTTACGCACTTAAGAATAAGAAATAATTCAAAGGCTCGAGTTGATTCATATCCTTAACCATATATAGAGGATCGTCAACTCTCTATAAGGCCCGGAGTCAAAGATTCAAAGGCCTTTTGGATCACTTTGAACCCCCACTTGTTGGAGTTGGTGCCCTTATGGCCAACTGCTGTTGTAATATCTTAGATATTTTCTATCATGTAAAGGCAAATGCATTAAGTTTACAAACATCTCATGCTAATGTAAACTCTTAATTGCATTCCTAGAATTATATTATAAGATGTTAATCAGAATGAGTCTTCTGATGTTGAGACTGACATCTTGTCACTTAGTATAATTCTGAACGGTCTATAGTCGAAGCATTAACGAGAGTGGGATATCGTTAGTACGCGTGAGACTAGTGAGAGTTAGATGTTTTACCTAGTCTCTTGGTCAATGACGGAGTGTTCGCATCTACTCTCGGACAGATATTATCGTTAATAATAGGATGCCAGACCTGACCCACCTTAAGGGCTTTGCCTAGACTTTTAGTCTATGCTCTAAGTGTCCTTAATGCGACTATTGGTATAACGATCCTCAGACTTGAAGTATTACGTTCTTCGAATGTGTGAACCCGCATGCTTTGATTCATTGTCCTAAGCCGTATGAAACAAGGATGGTACACAGGCTTTGTATTGGGCATGCCGCCGCACATATTCGAAGACGTAGATTACGTACAAAGAATTTGTCACTGCTACTCAAGCAGAATAATGTCTTGTAGGGGCCCACTGATAAGTATGACTGAGGAAATGCATGGCCATGCTGAGATGAGTTTAGACATTTGTTCTCATCAGTCAGACTTGTTAATCAGTAAATAACTTAATGGCTACAAGTTGGATATTTTATATCTCTTGCAATAAGTTAAGACATTGGGAGAAAAGGATCTACGTTATACAAAGTCTTAGTCGTAGAAAGGTTTTGACGGAGCAAACGTCTGAACTTATAATCTGGGGGTAATAATGTGTTGCTAGATACCGCTTATTACTTACAGTATTAGTGTACAGTCAATACCGTGGCCAGTTTTATAAGTGCCTATATGGGTCACACACTTTGAACAATTTAAAGAGTAGGATTATAAGAAGGGATAATATTTAATTTGTATATTGTAAAATAGTAAAGTAAAATGTTTTATATAATATATATGTGTATATATATTGTACACGATATATATATATATATGTATATTTTTATACATTGTACGTGCCACCCGGCACCCACATATGTATATATATGTATACATATGTACGCACGTGTGTTTATATTATATATGTGTGTGTGTGTGTAATTGCTTTTACCGTGTACACACATAAGTATATATATACTACATTATATATTATATTGTGTACATTTTATTTTGGAGTGTCATTTTAATTATGAAAATAATTATTTTGACAAAAACTATTTTAAAGTATATTTTATATACTTGTTTTAAAATATTTTTGGTATTTTATTTTATATCATAAAAATTATTAATGTCAAATAAAATACACTTTAAACATTTGAGAGGAGAAGAATTAAATTCCTCTCCCCTAAACTTTTTGTACTATGCATGATGGTTTGAGTGTGGGACTTTGTCTCCCACTATACATCAGAGTAAGTGTCCTTTTGGCATTTTGCAAATGTAAAAGGTTTATGCTTTATTCCTTTTAATTGATAAAAAGGCATTTTGAGTTCCAAAGTTATTATTTTGGGTGTAGAAAATTGATATAATATTTTCTTTAAAATATTATTCCTATATTTTCTACTATTTAATATACAAGATTAATATTATCCCTCTTAAATCATTATATTTAATATACTATTATAATCTTTACTAGCAATAAGATTATAGTAGACTCCGGAGATTGTTCGTGTGTCAAAGTTGGAGGCCGAACGCTTGAACGGCTACGTTTGCTCCTTCAACACCTTTTGCTCGACTTCTCGTTCATACCGCTTTACCGGAGAAGGTATAAGTTTCTATCTCTAGCTATAGTTTTAGTACGTGTTCTTGGCTAGTAATCACTTTTGGGAGATTAATTTTTGTATTTCCGCTGCCCTCCCAACCGTGGTTACCTTTCAGTGGTATCGGAGCCAACGTACAAAACTATAGTTTTTCCTAGAATTTTTCGGTTGAAAATTATTTTTAACTTGGTAATTATTTGTTAATCTCGAAAATTATTAAAATGATTTGTTTTAGTCTTGGAATAAATATTGGACTTAAATAAATCATTAAAATAAATATTCACTATTTATTTGTGCCGAAAATATGTATTTTATACATATATTGGCAAATTTCGAATATATATTAAAATATATATTTAGAAATTGTTAATATAATTTTATTGAACATAAAATTTCATTTATGGTTAGTAAAATTATATTGTAATTTTCGAAATTGTTTATTTCCAATTTTTGAGTTAATTGTATTTGTTTAGATTTAATTCCAATAAATCTTAAATAAATATTGGGAACTCAAAGATGAACTTTATAAAACATGGAAATATTATTTCTAGGTGAAATAAAGTTGTTCATAAATATATTGGACAAAATAATATTAGTTAGTGATTAATTATATATATATATTTCGGTATATATATATTACCGAGTAATATATATATATATATATATATATATATATAAATTGAAAATGGCTAATATCATTTTGGAAAATTATATCTCAGTAAAAAGTAATTTGATTTTTCTAAATATTAAATTTTATAATTTAATGATTTTTGAAAAATGATTTAAAATTATTTTTGCAATTATTGAGATATAATTAATATATTTGGGAAATAAATATTTATAAATTCTGGAAATTTACTTTTCCGATTTATAAATGTGTAAAATAGTTACTGGAAGTTGGAAATTAATTTTCATGATTTTTGAAAATTTATTTCAAATTTAAAATGAAATTTGGAATAAACATTGCACTAGGGGAATTTTCGTAATTCTGTGCTTCCTGGAAATTTATTTTCCAGTTTTGCCCCTGACCTAAAGTGTCTTAATATATTTGGGATGACTTGGTAAAATTTCATAATTCTTGGACCACTTTATGAATTTTTATGAATTTTAGAAAATATTATAAACGTAGTATTTTTCTAGAATTGTCTGGGGCGAGCACGGTTCGGCCGGTGTATGTATATCTCTATTGCCTGTGTGGATGTATGATATGCATGGTGGATGATTGTCGCTATAGTTTATTTGATTATGATACGGCCTGCGTGTCGTGCCTTATCTCTTAAACTCTCGTTGTAAATCTATTTCTCTCTCTTACCTCAACCGAGGATTCTTTTCTCACGTGGTGGTTAGAAGATAAAAGATTTGAAGTCCGTTCGAGGGAATCTAAAGGAATGGAGATAGCCCGAAGTCCAAGAGCCTGGAAGTTAGTGGGAGCTATCGTTTTATTTTTCCTTTAGGGGCCACAATCATTACACGTTTATTTACTGCGTATTTTGAATGCATGTGAATGTATGTTTAACGCTAGTAAATTGACACGTGCGCGGCATGTGTCGTAGGTGAGATCGTAAAACTCAAAATCCCTCAAAATATTAAGTCTGTATTGCCTTCCGGCGCCCGGCACCTTTCCGGCTAATGTGCACTGTCACGTACTCAGCCCTAGCAGAGCGTAGTACGGTGTATGTTATGCTGGTCACGGGAATCACTAAAGTGGTCATTGTCAGACGTTGGGTTAGACTTAACTGAGTCTCGGTCAAATGGATGGATGACTTAGAGGCGGTTTTTGTTGGGGTCACTATACTGACAAGTCGAATTACTTTACTCACGCATCCAGCCAGAAGTTGGGTCTCTATGACTTAATTGGGCTTTGCCCTAACTAAAGTAGCTGTGCATGTGGTACGTGCCAAAGCCAATCACATGTACGATGAAACGGTGTTCTGGTCCGAAAGTAGTATTGTCGTTCGCCCAACACAAGACCAAGAACTGTGAGCACGGCTCGACAGTTGGAACTATGTTCCTACCTAAATAGTTAAATTCTTGGTACGAACCTCAGGTCAACTGAATTTAATGATATATGGATCTTGGCCCATTAAGAGAATCTCTAGGAGAATCTCCGAATCAACATTGAGGGTTGTTGGTTTGTTAAAATAGTGGGAAATAATTAATTAAAAGGCCTAATTAATTATTCAACATGATAGATAACCTAGTTTGCAATCTCATTCTGTAGATGGCATCGAATAACACGTACAGTCATTCCATCAACCTGCGCTATATCCTCGAGAGCCAAAAACTCTCCCGGGAAACTTTCTTGATTCGGAGAAGAACCTCCGGATCGTTCTTGACCGTGAGAGGAAACTTTACATCCTCGAAACGAATCCTCCCAAGACCCCTAAGGCAAATGCTCGTGCATCCGAACTCACTTCTTTCAAGAAGTATGAGGACGACGCGTGAGATGTTAAGTGTATCATTATGGCAAGTATGACCGCAGAGCTCCAAAGGCTCCACGCGGACATGGAAGTGCGTCCTATGATACAACGCTTGAGAGACCTTTACCAGGGTCAACCCCAAAACTTAGATATTTACGTTATCGAAGTCAATATGTCTGATTTCACCTCTTGGGTGATGGATACCGGATGTGGTTCTCACATCTGTACTTCTATGCAGAATCTGCATGATGTTAGACATTTGGCTGAGGGAGAAGTCCAGCTTAAGGTCGGAAACGGAGCACTTATCAATGCGCTGGCTGTAGGAACTTATGTTCTATCTCTCCCTAGTGGCTTGTTGTTGCATTTAAACAATTGCTTGTTTGTACCTGCCATTAGCAGGAATATCATTTATGTGTCCTGTCTTGACAAAGCAGGATTTTGTATTAACGTCAAAGACAAGTGCCTTTCGGTTTTTAGAAATGATATTTACTATGCAACTGCTAAGATGACCAATGGTCTTTATATCTTAGACTTAGACGCCACTGCTTATAATGTAGATGTTAAGAGAAGCAAACCAAACAGTTTGAATCTCACATACCTTTGGCATTGTCGTTTGGGCCACATTAACGAGAAACGCATATCTAAGTTACGTCACTCTGGCGTACTTGATTCATTTGACCTCGAGTCTTATGATGTATGCCAATCTTGTTTACTTGGTAAAATGACAAAGGCTTCATTCATCGGTCACGGTGAAAGGGCGAGTGATGTATTAGGCCTCATACACTCTGATGTATGTGGCCCAATCAACACTGAAGCTAGAGGTGGTTTCTCATACTTCGTAACATTTACTGACGGCCTCAGTCGGTATGGATATGTGTATCTCATGAAACACAAATCGGAATGCTTTGACAAGTTCAAAGAATTCAGAAACGAAGTAGAGAAACAATTAGGCAAAAGTATCAAGACCCTCCGCTCGGATCGAGGAGGTGAGTACTTAAGCCTGGAGTTCGACGACTATCTAAAAGAGCACGGGATCCTATCCCAGCTGATTCCTCCCGGTACACCCCAATTAAATGGAGTGTCTGAAAGGAGAAACCGAACGCTGCTCGATATGGTTTGGAGTATGATGAGTCTGACAACATTACCAGAGTCTTTTTGGGGCAAAGCACTATTAACAGCAGCACACACACTCAATCGCATACCATCTAAAGCTGTTGAGAGCACACCATACGAACTATGGCGTGGGACAAAACCAAATTTGTCGTGCTTGAGGATTTGGGGTTGTGATGTTTACGTTAGACGCGTCATGACGTCTGGTAAGCTTGATTCCAAATCTAACAGGTGTAAATTTGTGGGATACCCCAAGGAAACGAAAGGGTATGAGTTCTATCATCCGGCTGATAACAAAATCTTTGTTGCTCGGAACGGAACCTTCCTTGAGAAGGAGTTTCTCTATGCTATTTCTAGTGGGAGAAAGGTAGACCTCGAAGAAATTCGAGAACCACAAGAAGAGATCTCAATAGCAGTAGAACCCGAGCGTCAAGATTTAGTATCTCGACCGGCTCAGGTTTTACCACGTAGGTCAGACCGGATGCGTAATCCTCCGGTTAGATACGGCTTCCTTGTATCTGATGAAGGTGACGTCTTGCTGGTAAACCAAGGCGAACCTGAGACCTACCTCGAGGCAATCACGTGCCCCGAATCCAAACAATGGCTTAATGCCATGAAATCCGAAATGGAGTCTATGTACACAAACCAAGTCTGGACCTTGGTTGATGCGCCCGAAGGGATAAAACCCATAGGGTGCAAGTGGATTTTCAAAAAGAAAACAGACGTAGACGGGAAGGTTCATACCTTCAAACCTAGATTGGTAGCAAAAGGTTATAGACAAATCCACGGAATTGACTAAGACGAAACCTTTTCTCCAGTTGTGATGCTGAAGTCCATTCAGATAATGCTTGCGATTGCAGCGTTCTATGATTACGAGATTTGGCAGATGGACGTCAAGATGGCTTTCCTTAATGGGAACCTCAAAGAGGATGTCTATATGACACAGCCTGACGGTTTTATAATTGCTGGTGAATCTGCCAAAGTCTGTAAGCTGCAACGGTCAATCTACGGATTGAAACAAGCATCTCGGAGTTGGTATATACGCTTTGATGAAACCATCACAAGTTTTGGTTTTGAGAAAAATTCTGACGAATCTTGTGTTTACAAGAAGGTCAGTGGGAGTGTGATAGTATTCCTAATCCTATATGTCGATGACATATTGTTAATGGGTAACGATGTTCCTGCTCTCACATCTGTAAAGACTTGGTTGAGCAAGAACTTCGCCATGAAGGACTTGGGGAATGCTAGTTATGCCATTGGCATAAGAATCTACCGTGATAGGTCAAGAATTTTGATAGGTCTATGTCAAAGTACATATATAGATAAGGTCCTTGATCGATTTAGCATGTCTAACTCGAAAAAGGGATCCTTACCTATGTTACCTGGCACGGCTCTTTCCAAGAGCCAGAGTCCTTCTACTCCCGAGCAGAAGGAACTCATGATGAAGGTCCCATATGCTTCTGCAATTGGTTCCATCATGTATGCCATGATATGTACTAGACCTGATGTCTCATTCGCTTTAAGCGTGACCAGCAGATACTAGGGAAATCCAGGTGAAGTACACTAGACAGCGGTCAAGAACATCCTAAAGTATCTTCGGAATACTAAGGATGCATTCCTGGTATATGGAGGTGAGGAAGAGCTAAAAGTGATCGGTTACACTGATGCGAGCTTCCAAACCGATCGAGACGATTACAAGTCACAAGCAGGGTATGTGTTTTGCCTGAATGGCGGAGCTTTTAGCTGGAAGAGTTTTAAACAGGACACAACCACCGATTAAACTACAGAGGCTGAGTACATGGCTGCTGCTGAAGCAGCAAAGGAAGGTGTTTGGATAAAGAAGTTCATTTCTGAACTTGGAGTGGTTCCTAGCATTAATGACCCAATCCCGTTGTTTTGCGACAACACTGGGGCCATTGCACAGGCAAAGGAACCACGATCTCACCAAAAGACCAATCACATTGTATGACGTTATCACATCATAAGAGAAATCGTAGACAGAGGTGATGTGGAGATTTGCAAAGTAGGAACAGACGACAACATAGCCGACCCCCTGACCAAGCCCTTGGGAAAGCTAAAGCATGAGGGTCACACTAGGTCAATGGGCATTCGACCAATGCCAGATTGGCCATAGTGCAAGTGGGAGATTGTTGGAGTTTGTGCCCTTATGGCCAACTGCTGTTGTGATATCTTAGATATTTTTTATCATGTAAAGGCAGATGCATTAAGTTTACAAACATCTCATGCTAATGTAAACTCTTAATTGCATTCCTAGAATTATATTATAAGATGTTTATCAGAATGAGTCTTCTGATGTTGAGACTGACATCTTGTCACTTAGTATAATTCTGAACGGTCTATAGTCGAAGCATTAACGAGAGTGGGATATCGTTAGTGCGCGTGAGACTAGTGAGAGTTAGATGTTTTACCTAGTCTCTTGGTCAATGACGGAGTGTTCGCATCTACTCTCGGGCAGATATTATCGTTAATAATAGGATGCCAGACCTGACCCACCTTAAGGGCTTTGCCTAGACTTTTAGTCTATGCTCTAAGTGTCCCTAATGCGACTATTGGTATAACGATCCTCAGACTTGAAGTATTACGTTCTTCAAATGTGTGAACCCGCATGCTTTGATTCATTGTCCTAAGCCGTATGAAAGAAGGATGGTACACAGGCTTTGTATTGGGCATGCCGCTGCACATATTCGAAGACGTAGATTACGTACAAAGAATTTTTCACTGCTACTCAAGTAGAATAATGTCTTGTAGGGGCCCACTGATATGTATGACTGAGGAAATGCATGGCCATGCTGAGATGAGTTTAGACATCTGTTCTCATCAATCAGACTTGTTAATCAGTAAATAACTTAATGGCTACAAGTTGGATATTTTATATCTCTTGCACTAAGTTAAGACATTGGGACAAAAGGATCTACGTTTTACAAAGTCTTAGTCGTAGAAAGGTTTTGACGGAGCAAACGTCTGAACTTATAATATGGAGGTAATGATGTGTTGCTAGATACCGCTTATTACTTACAGTATTGGTGTAGAGTCAATACCGTGGCCAGTTTTATAAGTGCCTATATGGGTCACACACTTTGAACAATTTAAAGAGTAGGATTATAAGAAGGGATAATATTTAATTTGTATATATTGTAAAATAGTAAAGTAAAATGTTTTATATAATATATATGTGTATATATATTGTACACGATATATATATGTATATTTGTATACATTGTACGTGCCACCCACATATGTATATATATGTATACATATATACGTACGTGTGTTTATATTATATATATATGTGTGTGTGTGTGTGTAATTGCTTTTACCGTGTACACACATAAGTATATATATATACTACATTATATATTATATTGTGTACATTTTATTTTGGAGTGTCATTTTAATTATGAAAATAATTATTTTGACAAAAACTATTTTTAAGTATATTTTATATACTTGTTTTAAAATGTTTTTGGTATTTTATTTTATATCATAAAAATTATTGATGTCAAATAAAATACACTTTAAACATTTGAGAGGAGAAGAATTAAATTCCTCTCCCCTAAACTTTTCGTACTATGCATGATGGTTTGAGTGTGGGACTTTGTCTCCCACTATACATCACAATAAGTGTCCTTTTGGCATTTTGCAAATGTAAAAGGTTTATGCTTTATTCCTTTTAATTGATAAAAATGCATTTTCTTCTCTTTTGGAAGAGGGGGTTTTCGGCCAAGTAGAGAGAGAAAGAGGAAAAACATTTTGAGTTCCAAAGTTATTATTTTGGGTGTAGAAAATTGATATAATATTTTCTTTAAAATATTATTCGTATATTTTCTACTATTTAATATACAAGATTAATATTATCCCTCTTAAATCTTTATATTTAATATACTATTATAATCTTTACTAGCATAAAGATTATAGTAGACTCCGGAGATTGTTTGTGTGTCAAAGTTGGAGGCCGGACGCTTGAACGGCTATGTTTGCTCCTTCAACACCTTTTGCTCGACTTCTCGTTCATACCGCTTTACCGGAGAAGGTATAAGTTTCTATCTCTAGCTATAGTTTTAGTACGTGTTCTTGGGCTAGTAATCACTTTTGGGAGATTGATTTTTGTATTTCCGCTGCCCTCCCAACCGTGGTTACCTTTCACCACTCACCTCAAGCTCTCAAACAATGATTCCAAAAGATGAAAAAGTTTATAAAAGAGCGAATCTTTCTTTCATTCTAACTCCCATGCACAAAGTATTCATGAAGAACATTTGATACACTTTAATAAACTTTAACGTCTAATGATGAAAATATTTTGCAGGTCTCCTCGAATAACTTAAGCATAAAAATTTTAATCTATTCACATAAAAGAACATTACATATTTTCATTAAATCAAGAGTTGATTATTGCGCTTAAACAATCCCAATTTTTATGAAAATAATAAACAAGAACACCAAGACATAAACAATCACTTTATAACGAATCTTAAGGAAAACGTTCAACTTATGTGGCTAAGAAGTTCATTTACCTTAAAATTTTACAAAACACATAGCACAACGAAGAATCACGTATGAACTCGGAAATCATTTAACTAAAATATGGAGCTAAATTAGCTTCAATGATAACCGAATTCGACATACCAACCTACTTATGAAATCAAATTTATAATTCAACCAATTTAACATCAATTTGCGCAAAAATTGAAGAAACTAGTAAGAATCAATTTTCATTCATAAGGGATTTAATATATAAAAAACCCATAAAAGAACACCAACCATTTTAGAATTTTAAAATTAACACAAACAAACAAGCAAAAATGTAAAAATGAATTCAAACAACACTTTTACAAAGAAATTGGAGAAGAAAAAGAAATTGACAAATATAGGGTTACCGAAGAAGATGAAATTGAAGAATTGGAACTGTGGTGGAGGCTTCCGACCGCTCACTGGGACTGCTGCGACCGCCAGTTTGCGTCTGCCGGCCGTCCGCCACCACGGCTAGGCCACGGCTCTCTGGTCGTTCTCTCCGCTGGTTCCCCTCCCTCTTTGTCACTTGATGTATGTCGCCCATTTATAGCAGCAAGGAGCGCTATTTCCCGTTGAAAAATTATTTCCGTTGCTGAATTGAATGAGGAGCGTAGGAGGAGAGACGTTGGAGGAGTTACGCTAGTTTTTTTCTTCCGTTTGACGAAGAAGAATGTCGCTAGTTCTTCCTTTCTTGCGTGCGTGCGTGAGATTGAATTGGGGAAAGAGAATGATGGGCTTGCCTTCTTTTATTGATGATGATTTGGGCTCCGGTCCAAATTAGATTGCTTCCTTTCAAACTTGAACTTCATTTTTGGCCTTTCACTGCACTTTTCTCCAAAAAATTAAGATATCTGATAACTTGGGTTAGGAAAAAATAAAATAAAAAATAATATAATGTAAAAAATGACTAAAAACTACTATTTATGAAAGAAAAATAAAAGATTGTAAAAATAGAAATTAAAATAAAACTATGCTAAACAACTAAAAATTAAACTCTAAAAATCTTTAAAATGCCTAAAAAAGAATAAAAAGAACTAATCCAAAAACGACTTATCAGTGCCATTTGGTGATAGGTACTGGCAAAGAAGAACGAAAACGGGGAGGCTGGCGGTAGCCAGGTACTGTGCCAACGGTACCCCCCCTACCGTCTGTCGCGGTGAACACCAGACTTGCACCAGCTCCGTTTTCGTCCATCAAACAGCATTAGTTCTAGTAAATACAAAAATAACAGATCATAAACCATCAATCCAGCATTATCTAACCAACCCTCAATCATTATAACCCAAATCATGCTTTCAAAATCATAAACGGCATAAACAAGGAATAATTCACGTATAGTCCAAATAGCTCAACCGTAACGATTCTACGGACGTAAGATTCAAACCTACGAATAGAACCATATGTTAGATGACCACATACTCACCTCGAATTCGACGATTAAAAGCTACGAAACAATACCCACGAACGACGGCGTCGAATTCTTCTTCTTCCTTCTTCTTCTTCCTCCCTTCTATGTCCCGCTGCTGCTTTAATCGAGAGAGACAAGAGAGAGAGAGACTTGAGAGAGTGGGGAGGGGGTTACGTAAATATGGTGTGGCGTGAGGGTTTGGGACGTGTAGGGAGTATATTTATACTTTTGGGGTTTTGGGCTCCGTATTAACTGAACGTACCTGGCCCAAACACACTTCCCGGGCCCACTAGCTCCAAATCAAAATCCGATTTCACCGTTAGATTCGATCCGTCAAACCCTACACGGCGGTGTAATATTTAATGTCAAACGAAGAGTATCTATAACTTTCACCGAGTCCGTCTCAATAATTTATTAATTGTTTCTAATTAATTAATTCTGATAGGCCGGGTTTCGGGGCGTTACACAAAGAATATTTCATAATTCCACCGAGTATGTCTCAGTTATTAAATAACTATTTTAATTAATTAATTTTGATAGGATGGGTTTCGGGGCGTTACATTTCTCTCCCCCTTAAAATAATTTTATCCTTGAAATTACTGAGTCATTGATAATTGAAGAGTTGAGGGTATTGAGCTCTCATGAACTCCTCGATCTCCCAAGTTGCTTCTTCCACAGCGTGGTTTCGCCAAAGCACCTTGACCAAGGGAACTGTCTAGTTCCTCAGCTCCTTTACTTCATGCGCTAGGATCTGTACGGGTTCTTCTTCATAAGTGAGGCTCTCGCCAAGGGTGACTGCTCTCTAAGGTAGAACATGTGATGCATTTGATCGATATCTTCAAAGCATAGACATGTGAAATACGTCTTGTATCTTTTGAATCTCTGGGGGTAACTCCAACCTGTAAGCTGTTGGTCCTACTCGTTCAATGACCCGGTATGGTCCAATGAACCTAGAACTTTAATTTCCTTTCTTTCCAAAGCTCCACACCTTTCTCCATGGAGAAACTTTGAGGAATACCCAATCATCCACATTAAACTCATCTCTTTCTGCTTGAGGTCGACGTAGGACTTCTGACGATTTGAAGCAACTTGTACCATGTCACGTATGAAACAAACTTTCTCTTTTGCCTCGCGAATAAGGTTGGGTCCTTCGAGCTTGTGCTCGCTCAACTCGGTCTAACAGACCGGGTGTCTGCAACGTCTTCCGTACAACGCCTCGTACGGAGCCATCTGAATACAAGCCTGGTAGCTGTTATTGTAGGCAAATTCCATTAATGACAGGTATCGTTCCCAACCATCACCAAAATCGATGGCATAAGCTCTCACCATGTCTTCTAAGATCTGAATCGTTCTTTCAAAATGACCATGTGTCTGAGGGTGGAAGACTATACTGAAATTGAGCTTAGTACCAAGGGCCTTCTAGAGACTCTTCCAGAACTGGAAAGTGAATCATGGATCGTGATTAGAGATAATAAACACTGGCACTCCATGCAGTCTCACAATTTTGCGGATGTAAAGTGTTGGAGTTGTGCCCTGATGGCCAACTTTTTTATCGTTATTCTATCATTTATAGGCAGATATAATATGTTTACACATCTCATGCTAATATAAACAAATATTATATTCCTAAATTTATATGTAAAGATGTTTATCAGATAGTGTTTTTCTACTGATGAGACTAACATCTTAAGATAAATATTTATCTAAATGTCCATAGTTAACTATTAACGAGAGTGGGATATCATTAATGCATGAGAGACTAGTGTGTGTTGGATGTTTGACTTAGTCTCATAGTCAATGACGAAGTGTTTGCATCCGCAGATGGGCAGATATTATCTAGAGAGAATAGGATGCCAGACTGACCCACCCTAAAGATGTTTCTTGAACTTTTAGTTCATGCTCTAAGCAATTTTAGTGCAACCACGGATGTAACTATGACTTAAAGTATTACGTTTTCTGCATATGTGAACCCGCATGCTTTGATGCATTGTCCGAAGCCATATGAAATAAGGATGGTATACAGGCTTTGTTTTGGGTATGCCACAACGCGTATTCAGAAACGTAGATTACGTACCTAGGATGTGTCACTACTCTTTTTACGAGATTAATGTCTTGTAGGGCCCACTAATAACTTATGACTAAGGAAATTACATGGCCATGTTGAGATGCTTTTATGACGTCTGTTCCTATCAGTCACACTTGATAAATCAGTTAATGGCTTAAAGGATAGAAACTCGATTTTTTTAATTCCTTGCATTAAGTCTAGACATTGAGACAAATGGATACAGTTATACGGAGTCTGAGTTGTGGAAAGGTTTTGACAATGCAAATGTCTTACTGTGTGTGTGTATGTATGTATGTATGTATATATGTATGTATGTGTATATATATACAGGGATTGACTCCAGTGAGATGACACCTTACGGTGAGATGACATGCTTCGGTCAGATGATGCAAATCTCACCACACTACACTACAAAGCTCACCAATGGATAATGCAAAGCTCACCTAGAAATAAAGCAAAGCTCACCACTTTGAACACCAAAACACACCTTTTTTTAAATTTTGAAATTTAAAAAATTAATTAAAAATAAAATAGCAACACAAGTCAACCACCGGTCAACGGCAGTGGCATGCGGCGGCACGGCAACGACGGCCGGAGTCTGCAGGCGGCGGCAACACGGCGACGACCGGCGGCAGGCGCTGGAGACTGGCGGCGGCAGTAGGCTGCACTTAATGCTAGCGGTCAACGATCAAAATCTAGTCAGCACCCCTTCCTTTGATTTTATTTTTTCAAAAAAAATTCAAAGTGTTGAAAAAATATGGTGAGCTTTGCCTTATAGTTTTGTGAGCTTTGTAGTCATCTGACCAAAGCATGTCATCTGACCGTAAGGTGTCATCTCACTGGAGTCAATCCCATATATGTGTGTGTGTGTGTCTATATATATATATATATATATATATATATATATATATATATATATATATCTGTGTGTGTGTGTGTTGTGCCGATTAATATACATATAATATATATTGAATATTTTATTTTGGTTTGTCATTTTAATTATGAAAATAATTATTTTGACATAAACTATTTAAAGTATATTTGTATACTAGTTTAAAAATAATATTGGTATTACATTTGATTTAAATATATTTTTATATCAATTTTTGATGTCAAATAAAATACACTTTAAAAATTTAAATGGGGAAGAATTTTACAAATCCTTCTCAAAACAATTTGTTTCGGCCATCATGAGATTTTTAAAGATCAAACTTGCTTTGATTGATTCTTTCGGTGGGCTAATTGTTTTGTCATTTAGCTAATGACAAAAGTTAATTGAACATCTTTGTTTTATTTAAATACAACTCTCCATTGGCCAATTTGAGATTGATTTTTGGGAAGAGGATTTTCGGCCAAGAACTCTTGAGAGAGAGAAATGCTATTTTCTGTTCCATTAATATAATTTTGTGTATAGAAAATATCTATAATATTTTCTAAATATTATTAGAAATGTTTTCTATAAAAATATACAAGATTATTATTATGCCAAATTCTAATCTTTATATTTTATAGTACTATAATCTTTACTAACATAAAGGTTTTGGTAGACTCTGGCGTTGTTCGTGTGTCAAAGTTAGAGACCAAACATTTGAACGGTTACGTTTGCATCATCAACGCTCTTCCTACGACTTCTTGGTTTCACCGCTTCTAGAGAAACAAATCTAACATTAATGAATACCACCGTATGGATACCACCGTATATAATGTAGATGTTAAGAGAAACAAATCTAACAGTTTGAATCTCGCGTACCTTTGGCATTTTCGTTTGGGCCACAGTAATGAGAAACGCAAATCTAAGTTACATCACTCAGGTGTACTTGATTCATTTGACTTCCAGTCATATAATGTATGTAAATCTTGTTTACTTGGTAAAATGACAAAGGCTCCATTCACCGGTCACAGTGAAAGGGCGAGTGACTTATTCGGCGTCATACATTCCGATGTGTGTTGTATAGTAAGCATTGTAGCTAGAGGTGGTTATTCTTACTTCGTTACATTTAATGATGACCTTAGTAGATATGGATATGTGTATCTCATGAAACACAAATCGGAATGTTTTGAGAAATTCAAAGATTTAAGGAATGAAGTAGAAAAACATTTAGGCAAAAGTATAAAGACCCTCCCCTCGGATCGAGGAGGGGAATACCTAAGCCCAGAGTTCGATGACTATCTGAAAGAGCACGTGATCGTATCCCAACTCACTCCTCCGGGGACACCTCAGTTAA